TATCCTCTCACCTCAAGAAAGTAGTATCCACAAAGCCTTCAGATATGCTTCTCTGTGGGAGAAAACACCCCTTTGATGCCCCCAAGATGAAGAGAAATGCCAAAATCATTTGTTAACTGTGCTCTGCAACAGGCACCTCCCTCACTGAACTCAGAAACTTCCAGCAAGTAGAAATTGAGATAGCAGGAAGTAAGTGCATTTTAGATTAGAACCTGGAACACCCACATCAGCTTTGTTCTGGGGCTGGCCTTGGAGCTGGTGCGGTCTATGAGAAGTAGCTCAGAGCCAGAGAGAACTGGATGGGCACTGATGCCAGGCCCCATCTGGGTGCTTCACACTGAGGACCTCATCCACCCTCACAGCCACCCTTTGTACAGGTGAGGAAATGGCAATGTGAAGAGGTCAGGCAACATGCCCCAGATATAATAGATTGCCAAAAATATCTTTCGGGTGGGACAGAGCAAACCCATGGTTTATGGTCAGAAGGAGAGTTGGTTAGGGTCCACACCCAGCTCTGATCTACCTTTCTTTGTGATATTTCATTATCCCTAATGCAATTTGCAAACCAGCATACACACCTCCAAGTGTTCTCAAAGACACAGCAAGGGGTAAAAGGGATTCGTCTTTCACAGCAAAACAGGTAGTTTTAAAAGAGTAGATTCTCCAGCTGCTCGGCCCACATGTGATCTCTTTCCTCTGACTGATCTGCCTAATGTGAAACTATCATGCCTGTCTCCCTTCCTACTGGCCCTCCTCATTCCCCTTCTGTCACTTCACCCCAGAGATGCCACCCATCTCATGCAGAACCTGTATTACCTCCAGAAGCAAATTACAATTTTTAATATCCTCAAAGGCTCCTTTAATCAAGGCCTGAAGGACCATCCATTCTTCATATCAAGAGATGAATTTCCAGGGCGCCTGGGTGGCTCAGTCAGTTAAGCATCTGACTTTGGTTCAGGTCATGATCTCATGGTTCATGGGTTTGAGCCCTGTGTCAGGCTCTGTGCTGACAGCTCAGAGCCTGGAACCTGCTTCAGATTCTGTGTCTCCCTCTCTCTCTGCCACTCTCCTATTTGTGCTCCATCCACCTCTCTCTCTCTCTCCCCCTCTCTCTCTCAAAAATAAACATTAAAATTTTTTTAAAAAAAGAGATGAATTTCCAATACAATTTTAGCTTATTAATTATCAGAAATATGTGAAATCTGACTGATGATTGGATAAAGAAGAGGTATACATATATATACAATGGAATATTACTTGGCGATCAGAAAGAATGAAATCTTGCCATTTGTAATGATGTGGATGGAACTAGAGTGTATTACGCTAAGTGAAATAAATTGGTCAGAGAAAGAAAGACAAATATATGGTTTCACTCTTGTGGAATTTAAGAAACAAAACATGAACATAGGGGAAGGGGTGGGGAGAGAAGAGAGGGAAACCACAAGAGGCTCTTAATGATAGAGAACAAACTATGGATTGATGGAGGTGGGTGGGAGATGGGCTAGATGGGTAATGGGTACTAAGGAGAGCACTTGTTGGGATGAGGACTGGGTGTTGCATGGAAGTGACGACTCACCAAATTCTCCTGAAACCAATATTGCACTGTATGTTAACTAACTAAAAAAAATTAAAAAAAAAAATTTTTTTTAACGTTTATTTATTTTTGAGACAGAGGGAGACAGAGCATGAACAGGGGAGGGGCAGAGAGAGAGGGAGACACAGAATCCGAAGCAGGCTCCAGGCTCTGAGCTGTCCGCACAGAGCCCGACGTGGGGCTTGAACTCACGCACCGTGAGATCATGACCTGAGCTGAAGTCGGACGCTTAACTGACCAAGCCACCCAGGCGCCCCTAAAAAAAATTTTTTTAACTAAAGTTTAAATTTTAAAAAAACCAAAGCTGGGGCGCCTGGGTGGCGCAGTCGGTTAAGCGTCCGACTTCAGCCAGGTCACGATCTCGCGGTCCGTGAGTTCGAGCCCCGCGTCGGGCTCTGGGCTGATGGCTCAGAGCCTGGAGCCTGTTTCCGGTTCTGTGTCTCCCTCTCTCTCTGCTCCTCCCCCGTTCATGCTCTGTCTCTCTCTGTCTCAAAAATAAATAAACGTTGAAAAAAAAAAAAAAAAAAAACCAAAGCTACAAAAAAAAAAGTGAAATCTTTGCTGTACTAATTATACATTTTATATTACTAACAATTATTATGAAAACTTTATCCAGAAGAAAAACGTTTTAATTTCAGGGCCTTATGAACACAAGAAATATTTAAAAATTAACTTTCAGGGCACCTGGGTGGCTCAGTCGATTAAGTGTCTCACTCGATTTCGGCTCAGGTCATGATCTCACAGTTCATGGGATTGAGCCTCATGTCGGGCTCTGCATTGGCAGCACAGAGGCTGCTTGGGACTCACTCTCTCTCTCTCTCAAAATAACTTTAAAAAAATTAAAATTAAGCTTCAAGTTACAGACTTTTTTTTGGCAGAGACATGTGATCAATAAAAGACTTTCAGAGGGCGACTGGATGACTGAGTTGGTTGAGCATCTGACCTTGGCTCAGGTCATGATCTCACAGCTCGTGAGTTCGAGCCCCGTGTCCGGCTCTGTGCTGACAGCTTGGAGCCTGGAGCCTGCTTTGGATTCTGTGTCTCCCTCTCTCTCAATGTGAAACTATCTCGCATTCTGTCTCTCTCTCTCTCTCAAAAATAAACATTAAAAAATTAATAAAAAATAAAGAACTTTCAGGCACAAAAACATTAGGATAAATTCTGTAGGGGAAGTCTAATAGAAATATAATTTCTGACTATTAAGATATTGTCATGTGTTTTTTAAGTGGATAATGGTAAGATATATAGTCACTGTAGGATTTCGATTCCATTGGGTATATTTAAAAGAGTGATCTATAGAAAATGTGTTGGAAATTATGTTCTGTGCAACTATTTAAAATTACAATGGGGGCGCCTGGGTGGCTCAGTCGGTTAAGCGTCCGACTTCGGCTCAGGTCATGATCTCACGGTCCATGAGTTCAAGCCCCGCGTTGGGCTCTGTGCTGACAGCTCAGAGCCTGGAGCCTGCTTCAGATTCTGTGTCTCCCTCTCTCTCTGACCCTCCCCCATTCATGCTCTGTCTCTGTCTCAAAAATAAATAAAACATTAAAAAAAAAATTTTTTTTTAATTACAATGAAAAATTTTTTGTCAACTTAAAAATGTGTGAGAGGTTCTATAGGCCTTCATGTTGGGGTCCATAAACAGGAACTATGTCGAGGTATGGCTTTAGGATCTGGAAGGAATCAGATTGATTAGTCAATGTTGATCAGTTTATGAATGAGGGCACGGAGGACCAAGGAAGGTTAGTTGATTTTCCCAAAGTCACACAGTTCAGAACCCAGGGGTACTTGCTTGCTCATTCTTTTCACTACTTCATGGGCCTCCCCTGTGCTCTGAAAACCCACCACAGTTTTGTGGAATGAGGAAGGCAGACATAAAAAGTATCCCAGAACAGTTACTGAATAAGAGGGATGTCCCTTGGTTAGGTTGCTCTCCTCCTTGTGGTTCTAGCCCCAGGGGTCAGGCTGGGAGGCCAGTTGTGGGGCTTAGGACCCAGGGTAACTGGTAGGTGGACACAACCTAAGGTTTTGATGGACTCCAAGCTGGGGATTTTTGTAGGGTCTCCACTCTCACCCCCATCACATGGTACTAAGCCTAATCTTTGGGGTTCTGGAAGTCCAACCGGGGCTGCCACCATCTCTCATACAGTACGCCTTTCATCAGACATTTCGATTTCATGTGTTGGCCATCATAATAAACACCAAGGAATGGGGGGTGCCTGGGTGGCTCAGTCCATCAAGTGCCAGACTCTTGGTTTTGGCTCAGGTCATCATCTCTCAGCTTCATGGGTCTGAGCCCTGCATCCAGCTCTGCACTGGCAGTGCAGAAACTGCATGGGATTCTCCCTCTCCTTCTCTCTGCCCCCCCCCCACTCATGCTGTCTCTCTCTCTCTCAAAATAAATAAACTTCAAGATTCTCTCTCCCTCTGCCCCTCTCCCCCCACTCACAGTCTCTGTAAAATTAAAAAAAAAAAAAATCTGGGTCTGTTTCATCAGTGGGATCTAGCCCCTCTCCTGAATCAGGATGCATGAGATGTCTGTGCACGGCACGGTGTCCAACTCAGGCAGAGGAGGCACATCAGCAGGGGTATCCACTTGGGTGCACCGTGACCCGAGGGACTTGACCCAGACCCAGCCCCTGTCTGGTGTGAGGAGCTCTGAGGGGCTAGTTTGGCCCTACATAAACCATGGTGGTTATGCAATGCACCAGACATCAGATCTAAGGTGAGACCATTCTTTGTGGGGGTTTTTTTGTTTGTTTTTTAGTTTAAAAAAAAAAAAAAAACTTTATCATTTTGAGAGAGAGAGAGAGATCATGCAAGCTAAGCCAGAGCTAGATGGAGGGCTTGATCCCACAACCCTGGGATCATGACTGAACCACAATCAGGAGTCAGACGCTCAACCGACTGAGCCACTGGGGTGCCCCCAGACACAGATATTTTTAATGATTTCCAAAATTTAGTTGATCTGAATCTTCATGACCCCTGATTTCCCTGTGGAGCAAACAAAGTAAGTTTGGGGTGGGGTGGGGGTGACTGGCTGATCAAACAAAGACGGGCAGACCCAGGCAGACTGTGGACAAAGACAACACTGAACAGTAGACCTTACCCTCCAACAAGAACTAGAACAGGGTTGGAGCTGGGGACACAGACCTAGAGAGTCAAGGGGACACAGGGCTAACAGGAAAGGACACAGGCCACTGTCAGGACACACATCTAAGGCTAGGACCCTGCTGACGTGGCAGCCCTCCGCCCTGGCCCCTTGCTGCCCCCCGCCCCTCTCCCCCGCCTGCCAGCTGCCAACAGGGCTCTGCCCTGTGTCTGCCACACCTGTCACTGCCTGTCCTTGTCCAGGGGGGGCCCCATCAGCCCCTCCTCAGCTGCCCAGCAGAGCAAGCAGTTAGTGGGGAGGGGAGGGAACATGGAGCGGGGGCCGGTGGTGGGGGCAGGGCTGGGGGCCGGGGCCCGAATCCGGGCACTGCTGGGCTGCCTGGTCAAGGTGCTGCTCTGGGTGGCCTCTGCCTTGCTGTACTTTGGAAGTGAACAGGCTGCCCGGCTCCTGGGCAGCCCCTGCTTACGGCGCCTCTACCATGCCTGGTTGGCAGCAGTGGTCATCTTTGGGCCCCTTCTGCAGTTCCATGTCAACCCTCGGACTATCTTCGCCAGCCACGGCAACTTCTTCAACATGTGAGTCCACTTGAGGCTGTGGGCGCCGGCTCCCTGTGCTCTGGGATCCCAGCTCCCTCCTCCAGGCTTCTGTCCTCCTGCCAGTCTGGACACTAAAAATAGGCTAGGAGGTTGAGGAGAAATTGGGAGGAGGGGGAGGGGAACAGAGTTGTGGGGTACAGGGGAAATCAGGAGCAGGGCTGAAGAGGAAATATGGGTCCTAGAAGGCTGAATGGGCCTCTAAGGAGATGGCAAAGTTTAAGTGAATGGGGGTGGGTAGGGGGAGGAAATGGAACCAGAGATGATATGCAAGGACTGGGAACAGCAGTGATAGGAACACAGATGGGGTGGGAGATGGGGCTTGAGGGGTCCCAATAGCCTCCCTTCTCCTGTGCCCACAGAAAGTTTGTGAATTCGGCATGGGGCTGGACGTGCACCTTCCTGGGGGGCTTCGTGTTGCTGGTGGTGTTCCTGGCTACCCGGCGCGTGGCGGTGACTGCCCGGCACCTGAGCCGGCTGGTGGTGGGGGCCGCAGTGTGGCGGGGGGCCGGCAGGGCCTTCCTGCTCATCGAGGACCTGACTGGTTCCTGCTTCGAGCCTCTGCCCCAGGGCCTGCTGCTGCACGAGCTTCCCGACCGCCGCAGCTGCCTGGCAGCCGGCCACCAGTGGCGGGGCTACACGGTCTCCTCCCACACCTTCCTGCTCACCTTCTGCTGTCTGCTCATGGCTGAGGAAGCCGCTGTGTTCGCCAAGTACCTGGCCCATGGGCTGCCAGCCGGGGCGCCCCTACGCCTAGTCTTCCTGCTCAACGTGCTGCTGCTGGGCCTCTGGAACTTCTTGCTGCTCTGTACCGTCATCTATTTCCACCAGTATACTCACAAGGTGGTGGGTGCTGCAGTGGGGACCTTTGCCTGGTACCTCACCTATGGCAGCTGGTATCATCAGCCCTGGTCTCCAGGGAGCCCGGGCCACGGGCTCTTCCCTCGGCCCCACTCCAGCCGCAAGCATAACTGAAAGAAATAAAGGCAAATCAGGCCTAAGTCTGGCTCTTCTCATCATTTGGTTGGGGGGACTCAGAAACGGTGGGAAGGATAAGAAAAGAATCAGGCAGTCTCGCGTTCCTCAACCATTCCTTGCTGTTATGGACTTTGAATATCCTTCCTTATCTTATGCTTGATCTCCATCCCTCCTGCTGTCCTTTTAGTCTCCCAGTCCTTGCAGACTTCAAGCTACATGGAGGGTTTTGCTGTCAAGGAATGGTGATGTTAGAGCAGGTAAAAGTGCCCTTAGGTATGGGCAGCACTCCTGCTGGGCAGGTGCTTCATCTCTAGCCTGGCTGATTTGTTTTTCCTGCCTCCTGCACTGAATCCCACCCTCCGCCTTCCTCAGGGGCCTGTCTATCTGGGCACATTTATTTAACAGGTATTTATTGACCCAAGCAGAGTTCCATGCCTTATGAATGAGACAAGGTTTCTGGAGGACCTGGCTGGCTTGGTCAGTTAAGCATCCTACTTGACTTCAGCTCAGGTCATGATCTCACAGTTTGTGAGATGGAGCCCTGAGTCGGGCTCTGCACTGACAACACAGAGCCTGCTTGGGATTCTCTCTCTCTCCCTCTCTCTGCCCCTCCCCTGCTCACATTCTCTCTCTCTCAAAATAAATAGACATTTAAAAATAATAATTATAAATCAAAAGCAAAAAAAGAAAAAGACAAGGTTTCTGCTCTTTGGAGGCTTATGGTTAATGGGGGAGGCAGATGATAAACTCACAAATAATAGCAAATGCTTCTATTGTGCTTACTATGTGCCAGGCACAGTTCTAAGTGTTTCTAAGTTCTTCATATAAATTAAGACATTTAGCCCTCATAACAACACCAACACTATCAGGTAGGTTTGGTGGTATTCCTACTGTACAGTTGTGAAAACTGAGATATAGAGGTTAAGTAACTTGTTCACAGCTAGTAAATATCAAAGTCAGAATTATAAACCCACACGATGTGGGTCCATTGTCTGTGCTCTAAACTGAGGACCAGCAACTACAGCCCTCCTGTGGCCAGTTTTTGTATGGCCTGAGAGTTAAGAAAAGTTTTTACATTAAAAAAAATTTTTATTTAGTTTATTTTTGAGAGAGAGAGATTGAACACAAGCGAGGAAGGGGTGGAGATAGAGGAGACACAGAATCCAAAGCAGGCTCCAGGCTCTGAGCTGTCAGCACAGAGCCCGACGTGGGGCTCAAACCCACAAACCCTGAGATATGACCTGAGCTGAAGTCTGACGCTTAACCAGCTGAGCCACCCAGGTGCCCAGATTTTTAAGTTTTTAATGATTGAAAAAAAGAATATTCCATGATATGAGAAAATTACACAGAATTCAAAGTCCATTGTCCATAGATAGTTTTATTGGAACCTAGACATACTAATTCATTTAGGTATTCATTCATACCTGCTGCAATGGCAGAGTTGAGTCGTTACTATAGACACCATTGACCCACAAAGCCTAAATTATTTACTATCTGGCTTTTTACAGAAAAAGTTTGCCAACTCCTGGTCTAAACCACACTATCCATGGAGCACCTGGGTGGCTGAGTCAGTTAAACATCCAACTTCGACTCAGGTCACGATCTCACCGTTGGTCGGCTAGAGTCCTGTGTCAGGCTCTGTGCTGACAACTCAGAGCCTGAGCCTGCTTCAGATTCTGTGCCTCCCTCTCTCTCTGCCCCTCCCCTGCTTGCTCTCTTTCTCTCTCTCTCTTTCAAAAATAAACATTAAAAAAAAAATCTCTTAAACCACCACTATCCTCAAAAAAATAAATAAACTGACTAATATCAGAGAGCTAAGTGCTATGAATGTACTAAAACAGGCTGGTTTGTAATAAAGACTTACTGGAGAGAGTTCCCTCTGGAGAGGTGACATTTGAACTGAGAACCTAAGGCAGGGAAAGGGTGTGTCAAGCAAAGGGATTATAGTAAGGGCAAAGGCCCTGAGGTAGGAATGAACACCAGACAGATTTAAGCAACAATGGAAGGCCCAGGTATTTGCAAGTGTAATGAAAGGGGAAAGCAGTGGAAAGTGAAGTTGAAAAACAGGTGACTGGCAGGCCAGGCAAGCCTTATGAGCCAGGAAAGCCCTTTAGATTTCATTCTAAGGTCAACAGGAAGCTGAGAAAGGGCTTTAAGCCAAGAGAGGGGTCTCATGCCACCGCTGTGCGGAGAGTATCGAGGGGTGTAGTCCACAACAACGGCCGGGAGAGAGTTGACCGGGGCCTGGGTTGGAGTGGTGACAGTGTCTTATGTCACCGCATGGGCCAGCAGATGCCCATGGAGCCAGGGCTATGTAGGGAGGCCAGAAAAGACGAAAGAGCGCCAGATAAGGCTTATCACGGTCCCAGCAGAGCAGGAGCAGAAGAGAACCAGCGGAACGCGGAGGCAGGGAGATGGGAGGCGGGCACTGGCCTTGGCCGGCCTATGGGCTCCGGGAGGCGGGGAGGCGGGCCCGCGGTACGTGAGGACAGGAAAAGTTGAAAAAAAGCGGGGGGCGGGGCGGTGACTGTAGGCTTCGAGTCCAAAGGCGGGAAGGTAGGCGGTGGGGTGGGAGTGGCTGAGCGTTGGGGGGCAGAGTTGCGAGGTGGAGGCGGGCTAGCGCTGGTCGCCCCGCGGAGGTGGCGGTGGCAGTGCTCCTCTCGGCCTCCAGGGGGAGCCCCGCCGCGGCTGCAGCCCTCCCCCGCTCCGCCCTCTCCTCTCCCCGTCTGGCCCCGCCCCCTCCAGTACCTCCACTCCCCGATACCGAGGAAGGCAGTGGTGGGGGCGAGCGTTTGCTTTCGCTTTTCCTTCCCTGTGCGCACTCCGGTTCTCGTGCGGCGCTAGGCCCCCCGTCCCGGCAATGGCCACGCTCAGGGTCCAGCCTGAAGCCCAAGCCAAGGTGAGCGCTGCGGGTTTGAGGAAGGGCCCATTAGGGAGGCGTGGCTCTGAAAGGCTGCAGGCGTCCATGACCCACCCCCCCAACCCCCGTCGCGAGTCCAGTCGAGGTCGAATGGAGCCCACGCGAGCCTCTGTGCCAGGAGCACCTGTGCCTGAGGGAGACGGGCGAGGTCCACCTGCCGGGATAAGCTAGGCGGCTGAGGTTCAGTGGGGTGCGGTGAAGTGGAGAGCTGGCGTGGAGGGGAAGTCCGCTGGCGCGGGCCTGGGGCCACGTACAGACAGGATGCTGGAGCTGCCCTGCCACCTCATGACCTTTCCCACCGGAGGGCCCCGGGCCCACTCCACAGAGCATGCCGTCCCTGTGCCAGTCGCAGAGGCTCTTAGACCCCTCCTTGTACAGCCCAGGAGACCTGGGCTCTGAGTCTGAGGGATCTGTTCTCACTTGGACCACCTGCCATTCACGGCCAGGAATGTTCTCATCCCCCGCATCCAGCCTCAAGGGAATCCACTTCACCCTCCCCAACCCAACCCCCTTCCCCATGTCAGGCCCTATACAACCCTAAGGGAACGGTACTCAAATGAACTGGCCGTAAAGCCAGGTGTGTGAAGGGCTGCCTGTGTCCCACAGGTGGATGTGTTCCGTGAAGACCTGTGTACCAAGGTAGGTAACCTGGCCCATCAGCACCCCACCCCTACCTAACTCCCACCACTCAGCCCTTCCTTGCTGGGCAGTGTCAACGCTGCTTCACTGCCAGAAGAACATTTTATTCTGACCTCCATCTTCCCCCACCCCCACTTCACACAGACAGAAAACCTGCTGGGGAGCTACTTCCCCAAGAAGATTTCTGAGTTGGATGCATTTTTAAAGGTACTGGGGGCAGCAGGAAGCTAGAGAGTAAGGATCGAGGGGAGAGTCTGGGGGGCCATCAGAGTGAGGTGAGAGGGATGCCCTTGCCTCCAGCCCTCCTCCCACCCTGCACCAGGAGCCAGCTCTCAATGAAGCCAACCTGAGCAATCTGAAGGCCCCATTGGACATCCCAGTGCCTGATCCAGTCAAGGAGAAAGAGAAAGAGGAGCGGAAGAAGCAGCAGGAGGCAAGCCAGGAAGAGCTGGGTGGAGGGACCCAACCATGGGGAAAATCAGCCTTAGGCCTGACTCCCAAGAGCCCCTATCTCCCTGCAGAAGGAAGACAAAAATGGAAAGAAGAAAGAGGAAGATGAAGACAAAGGTACCACTATGAAGGGACTTGAGTCTCACATCCCAGGAACTCCTCTGTAGGGATTCCTCTTTCCTGCTCCTCACACAGTTCCATCCTGGTGACTGACCCATTGCCCACTGCGTAGGTCCTCCCTGTGGCCCAGTGAACTGCAATGAGAAGATCGTAGTCCTCCTTCAGCGTCTCAAGCCTGAGATCAAGGATGTCATTGAGCAGCTCAACCTGGTGAGCCCTCCCACTCCCACCCCCAGGCTTCAGATCTAACCCTTTGTCCTCTTTGGTCTGGGCCAGGTAGCACTTGGCACCTGCCACGTCTTAGCAGGAGAGGGCACAGCAAGTGAAGCCAGAATTTTAGGCCTTGGGGCTCAGGACAGACTTGGCATGCCTTCCCTCGCCATGGGCAGGGAAGCAAAGGACAGAGAGTTAGGTTGGGAGCTGATGTGGCTTTGATGCCATTTCCTCCTTCCAGGTCACCACCTGGTTACAGCTTCAGATACCTCGAATTGAAGATGGGAACAATTTTGGAGTGGCTGTACAGGTGAGAGCACTACCCCACTCCTCTGCCCTCCTTACTGCTTCAGTCCGCACTGTTTTCCACTTTTCCCCTTGCATTCTTTCCCCAGGAGAAGGTGTTTGAGCTGATGACTGCCCTTCACACGAAGCTGGAAGGCTTCCACACGCAAATCTCCAAGTGAGTGACTGCCCACTTGCACCTGCATGCATACCCTGCCTTTTCCTTGGACAGAGGCTTGGGCTCCCTCTCCTCCTTCTGCTCCCAACCCTTCTGCTTCCTACAGGTATTTCTCTGAGCGGGGCGATGCTGTGACCAAAGCAGCCAAGCAGCCCCATGTGGTAGGTGAGGCCCAAGTCAGGGTGCATGGTGGGGGAAGGACACATCTGAAGTCAGACCTGATCCAAGTCTCCCACAGGGTGATTATCGACAGCTGGTGCATGAGCTGGATGAGGCAGAGTACCGGGACATCAGGTTGATGGTCATGGAGATCCGCAATGCTTATGTGAGGAAGCAGGGGCAGGGGTGGGCAGAGGCAGCTTTCCCAGGCCACCTACTCCCTGACCCTACAGGCTGGGGGTGAAGGGTGACAGAGCTTAGCCTCTCCACAAGACTAGAAATGGGGTATAGGAGCCACCAGGGGCCTGTGGCTACCCACACTCCTCTCTGGCCCTGTAGGCTGTGTTATATGACATTATCCTGAAGAACTTCGAGAAGCTCAAGAAGCCGAGGGGAGAAACAAAAGGAATGATTTATTGAGAGCCTCTTCTCATCCTGTAATGGGTCCAGCAGAGACCTTCCTATCTTTTACACAGGACTCCAGACTTTCCCCACCTTCAGCCTGTTGAGGTTTCTCCCTCCCCTGCCTCCCAGGCCCAATAAATAGTCATACCATTGCCCTTCAGCCCAAGTATCTTTATTGGATCCTGACCCTTTGCCTCCCACCTCCCAGCCCTGACTCAGGTATTTCCATTGGTGGGACCAACCCATTGGGTGATTTGGGTGTTGAGCTGTTGGTTGGTCCAGTCCTGCCGGATGTCGTCAAGGTGGCAGTCAAAGTCCACAAGGTGCTGGTGGGCCCGGCCCTCCAATAGTGCTCCCACCATCTGCCGTGACTCTTCCCAGTCCCTCCACATCACTCTGAAATAATAACCCCCAAACTCAGTAGGCAGTGGGGCCAGATACTTGGCAGAGGTTAGGGTCTAGAGAAGGACCCTTGGGGCAAGATCAAGGACAAAGGAGGCCCAGGAGCTGTGGGTTTCCAAGAAGAGGTGGTGGGAGTGGGGCACTCACAAGTTCTTGTCCTTGGGGACCCAGCGGAGACCATGGTTTTCCAGGACGATGACTGGGGGCACATGAGGCTGAGGCACCAGTTTCTGATTATCCAACTGTATGGACAAGGAATGGCTGGTGAGGGTTTCAAGGACCCCACTTCCTATTTTCTCACCAAGTCCCCACCCTGAAACCCAAGCCTCACCATAATAAGTACTGCATCAGGGAAGAATTCTGCAATCCGCCCAGCGATTTTCAAGGCCAAGGGCCCAGGGCTGTGTAGAGGGAAGATCAGAGGAGTGAGGGGGGTGACTAGAGATAGACCCTGTCCATCTGAGCTGGGCCTCACAGGTCTCCTAGATGAAGACACAGTGGTGGGCTTTCCCTGTAACTGGTCTGAGGGGTCAGGCCTGCTTGAAGCTTCATACACGACTGCTTAATGCTTGGGTGCTGTGGAAAACAGGTGCTCAGACTGCTGGTCAAGGTGAAAATCAAAGGTGGTCTTTTGGTAGGGTAATTTCGCATAACCACCCAGATTTAAGCAGTATACTATACATATGCTGACCCAGAAATTCCACTTAAGAGAATTTACTGTAATAATTGGACAGTGTGTATTAACAAAAAAATGGAAACAACCTCAATGTTTAAGGCATGAAATAAATCATGGTATATCCATCCATACTCCTACTATATAGCTGCCAGGCTAAGGTAAATCTTTAGAGATGGAAAGATGGCACATATTTACTAAGTGAGGAGGGAAAAGCAAATCACAAAACTGTGTATAATTTGATCCGGATAGGGGATTCATATGTAAGTATATAACTTTTTCTATATATAAGGAAATTTCTCCCCCCCCCCCCCCCCGAAATTGCTGGTTGGGCTTCCTCTGTGTTCTGCCAGCGCTTGGCGGGGAGGGGGGTGCACCTCAGTTAAAGCCAGGTGTCAGCTTGTTACTTATACACAGCTATCCTCCCAAACCCCCACTACAGCTCCTCCAGGGATCGCCTTCATATTTCTTTATATGCCTTCACTCCTGTACTCAGCCTAGTGCCTGGTGTATATAGTACCTGCTCCTAAGCATTCGACGAAGGATAGATGGGAGGAACGACCAAGAAGGGTTCTCTTGATCCCTCATCCCATAACCCTTAGCCTTCTGCCTCTGGCTACTCCACTCACCTCTGATCGTCCAGAGCTGCATTGGCATGGTAGTACCCAGCCACTACCAGACCGGCCTGCGCGCCCCACACATCCACCTGCCGTGGGAAAGGGGCCATCAGAAACCCAATCATGCCGCCCGCCCTGTAGGTGCGCACTGCTGCCCAGACACCGGGGATGGGCTTGGGCTAGGGGTGTTAGGGGGTTTCCCGGTGGTCAGTGGGAGTCCAGCGACGGCACCTGGTTGAGGGCGACCTCCAGCATGACGGACAGGGCTAGGTGGCTGTGGAACAGGGGCACACAGTCGGTGAGACACAGGCATTCTCCTGACCGCGGCGCGGGCGCCAGCAAGAGCCCGTTGACGGCGGCGTGCGGGTACCGGGCGGCGTGGAGACACATCTTCACGTAGGCCCGAGCCGAAATCTCCACCTCCCCCATGGCGAGCGGGGTCCCAGCTCTCGTCCGCGAAGCTCCCTCCAGGGCCCCGAAGCCTTCCTTGTCCCTTCCCTCTGCCCCCTCACTTAGATTCGGCCGTGACGCTGACTCGGCTCGAAGGCAGCCAGCCGGCTCTGGGGGACTTGGGTCCCAGCGCCCGGTCCCCACCTGGCCTGGGGCGCAGGCGGTGGGAATTGCACGCTGCAAAGCCGAGCTCCGCCTCCGCCCGCCAGCATCGGGAGGCCGCAGATCCCCGCCAGTCTGAGGGCTCAGAGCCTGCTGCAGAGAGCAGTACCAGCTTCTGGAGTCCCGCCCACGTGGTGCCCTTTGATAGGCTTAGAGGTTCTCATTTTGCCCAATCATCGGCCGCGTCCACACTTTGCCCCACCTTGGTCGCCCGAGCACTGGAAAGAACCCACACCTGAAAACTGAAGAGACCTGCTCGCTCACTGATTGGTTAGGCTACTCGACTTCGGCCCAGAATTGCAGGATGGCTGGGTGTGATACCTGTGCTTCTTCCCCCACAGACCCCGCGAAGCCAGAGGGGGTGGAGCGCGCGCCCGGCGTCGGGTGTCTCCGAGCGCTGGATCTCCGAACGTGGGCACGAAGCGGACTGCCTTGCTCCTACTATGGAATGAATGGATTTGTACTCTAGACCAGCTCCTTCACCAAAGACCCGTGTTACCTTTGCCACTACAGGATATATACCCCTTGGTTTCCTTAATGTATTCTCTGCAGAAATAAAGACGGCAATCGGCTGAAGGAAGGGGGAAAGAGAACAAAAAGGAAAATTTACCGACCCATTCTTCCCTTAATGAATGTCCTGCAGTATAATTTCCTTCAACATAATGCCTTGGGAACGTTTTTCTCCGTCATCCCTTGAGGAGTCCCACCATTCCCCCCTAATTCTCCCAGTGAAACTCACCCCCTCTTCAGGCTTGCTCTGAGCTAATGACAAGTGTTGTTCCTTCCTTCATTCTCAGATCTCAGCCGGAGCTTTCTACTTGTCTGTTCAAAGCCTGATTATCCCTATAAGGGGTCTTCGCAAAAGCCATTTCTTCCAGTAGGCACTCATGAGCCCCCTAGATGGAAATAATCTTGTGAAATCCCCAAATACGGGCTATCTGTGTAGCTGTCATGACATGTCACAATTTCCACTCTGTTCTTTAGGATGACTTCTTAAGAACAGGATGGGCTTCCCATTCATCTTTGCCATTATGACATCCCCTGTCTTTCCCACCACCACATTCACATCCAGTGGCTGCATAGGTGGCACTCAATAAATGCTTTTTGAATGAATGACACACACCAGAGATAATCCACACAAAGCATAGATCATTTATTTCCCTTCTGGCCCTGGGCTCAGTACATAGATGGCTTCTCTTCACCCTTTGGGTTGATAATTTTCTCTAGGTTGCTGCTGATGATATGATAAAGCTCAGCCTGGAAGAAGGTCAGAAGGGTGGCAGTCAGGTTCTTGGCCTTTCCCCTATCCCCTTCAACCTTCTCCCCTAGGGGCTTACTCCACACTCACGTAGAAGGCCCTCAGGTCCAGCACCATGGCCCTGAGCTCCCCATACGCTGCCTCATCTCGCTCATGTACCAGGGCCCGGTAATCCATCTGGGATGTGGGAGGCAAAGCTGAGTCAGCCCCATGGGAGACTGGGACATTAATCTGGTTTCCCCATATAGGGAATAGGTAACTTGAGGATGAGTCCCTTCTCAGCACCAAGAAATGGAATCCCACAGGATCAAGCAGAGAAAAGGGTCAAGGTTTTGAAGCCAAATCAGTTTTTCTAGCCAATTCTCTTGGTTTAATATTCTCTACATTGGGAAGATCAGAAAACAGACAAGGAAGACCTCTATCCCCTCTTCCTTGCCCCACCTCAGCTAAAAGACTGGTGGACTATCCACTCACTACATGAGTCTCCTTAGAGGCCTTGGCCACAGCATCCCCGCGTTCTGAGAAGTACCTGTCAAAAGCAAGGGGATAATGACAAGAATGGGTAATGAGAGAGAGAGATACCCTCAGAACCTTCCCAAAGCCCTCCATCATCCTGATGGAACCGCCCAGCTTTGGCAATCCCAAAGAAATGTTCCTTTAGCCCCTCTTCTGGCCCTCCAGCTGCCCTCACTTGGAAATGGTTGTTTGGAAGGCTTCCACTTTAGTCTTGACTGCATTCACCCTCTCCAGCACCTTCTCCTATGGCAACGAAAGAGATGGGAGGCAAGAAAAACACTTCATTTCCTCTGTCCTTCACTCACCATCTTCCTCCTCCTCCTAGTTCATGTCTAGCTCCTATCCCTCACTTCCCAAGTCTCTCCCTGCTCTCAATGTCCTCACACACAGTTTTCTTACCTGGATTGCCACCCCAAAGTCATTTCCATCCTCAATCTTGGGGATCAGGTGCTGGATCCATGTGATCACCTATATTAATGATCATGTAGGAATCATTCAACAAACGTACTGGGTTCTTACTTTTACCGCCACTTCCTAATAATAGCTATATTTAATTGAACACTTATTATATGCCAGCTACTGTGATATACATATATATATATACATATACATATATATGTATATATATATATGTAATTTAATCTTCACAGCAGTCTTAGGATGCCTGGGTGGTTCAGTTAAGCATCCGACTTTGGCTCAGGTCATGATCTCACAGTTGGTGAGTTCGGGCCCTTTATTGGGCTCTCTGCTGTCAGAGTGGAGCCTGCTTCAGATCCCCTCTCCCCTTGCCCCTCCCCCACTCTCTCTATATCTCAAAAATAAATAAACATTAAAAAATATTCAGGGGTGCCTGGGTGGCTCAGTCAGTTGAGCGTCCAACTTCGGCTCAGGTCACCATCTCACAGTTCATGGGTTCAAGCCTTGCGTCGGACTCTGTGCTGACAGCTTGGAGGCTGTTTGGGATTCTTTGTCTCCTCTCTCTCTGCCCTTCCCCCACTCATGCTGTGTCTCTCTCATTCCCTCCCCAAAATAAATAAACATTAAAGAGTTAAAAAAAAATCTTCACAGCAGTCTTCCAAAATATTCTTATTGTACCCGCTTAGCCGATGAAAAAGCTGAGTGGCAAAATGTCCAAGGAACTTATTTAAGGTCACCAGCTAGGTAAGTGACAGAGTCAGGCTTTGAACCCAAGCAGTCTCCCTCGAGGGCCCAAGCCCCCAACTCACTATGGCATAGCACCTGCATGGTGTACCTGGTACAGAGGTGGGTTCTGACACTATGGAGGTGGGTACAGCACAGTCTCTGATTACAGAGACACCACTGTGGTATCAGAGGTCTAGCAGAATGAGAACACAAACTATCTAACCCCAAGGCACAGAGGAAGTTTCCTATTTCAGCAAGAGGAAGGTTGAAGGACTGGTTGAAGGACTTGTATCTCTGAAGACTAGGGTCTAGCCTGGCTTTTCTTCCCTTTCTCTTTCCCCCAGTTCCCAGGCTTACCAGAATGCATTTTTCTTTGAGAGTCCACACTTCTGGCTTAACCAGGGCAAGTAGGGCGAGAACCTTCTCATTTCCAGGGAGAAAGCCACACTTAGCGACTGTGAAAAAGAGGGCATTCAGGCCCCTTCTCACCCAACAGTCAATGTGCCATTTCCTCTTCCCTAGCCACCCCTTCCTCTCTTACCTTCTTTTTTCTCCTGCTTATCTGTTTCCATCTAAGGTAAAAAGGGGGACAACAGCTTTAGAAATGTCTTGGAGGTTGCAGGGTTATCCTCCCCACCTGGATTAGTTTGACCCCTGCACACTGAGTGCCTCACCTCATCATCCTTGGGTGGGGGGTCTGGGATGGGGATGTCTAGTGGGGCCCGGAGAGAGGTCAGGTCAGCCACATTGAGGGAGTCCTCCTGCACAGAGCTCAGCGTCAGCAGCTGCCCAGCCTATTCCCCTCATTCTGAGTCACAATCTTCCCTCCACACAGCCCACCCACCCACTGTCTAGGCTCAGGCCTCACCCCATCCTACCATTTCCAGTCCACTACTCATAACTGTTCTCTGCAGGCTGAGCCCAGTTGTTCGCTGGAGGGGTTGGGTGGAGAGGAGAGAGGCCTTGGGATGGAGTGAGAAGGGCCCACACTACTCACTTGCAAGAGTTGATTCAGGTATATGATTTTCTGTGGTAAGAATCTGTAGAGGAATTCCTCTGCCTGTGGGTTACATTGCAAGGGTGGGGAATCTCAGAAGATGCTCAAGAGATGTCTGAGAAGTAGGACTGGAAGGGCCCTTGTAAATCATTGACTCCAATAATTACAAATAAGGAAACTGAAGCCATAAGAAGTGAAGGGACTTGCCCAAGCTGGGAAGTGGCAGAACCAAGGTTAGGGCTTTGGGGCCACAGCTTTTCCCTTCTACACCAAAAGAGGGGAGAGGAAGTGGCAGAAGTGGAGAGAACATTAAGAGGGGTCAAATTAAAGGGGGAGACGAATAATTAGCCTTAGGTAAAGGTTTGAGAAGGGAAGGAAGGAGGGCCCAGGGTGGGTCTGGGGGTCAGTCTGAGAGGTTGCGGCCCTCAAGTACTGGTCTAAGATTCCGAGTCAAACCGCTTGAATCTAGAAGACTTACCTCCTGAAAAAGATTTTGCCTGAAGATATCCACCTGCACAGAGAGCAGTACCCGGATGTTGGTTAAGGGTCTCAGTTGTCAAGAGTAAGATCCCACCCACAAAGGGATGCCCTCCAACTTGGCTCAGGCCTTTCCTACCACAAGCCAGATTTCCCTGGAAGCTCATGCTCAGTGCAGAGACTGGTCAGAGGACAGGAATCTGGGAATCCCCCGGCAGAAGTGAAAGCACTAAGAAAAGGTTGGGGGAGTTCTCTGGCACGGCCTTGGTCCCCTGGAGCACCCAGACTGGCCTCCAGCCAGGAGGGCTCCCCGACCCTTTCCTGGCTTCCCGATCCCCCATTACCTGTTTGCGGGCTTCCCCGCTCAGGCGCACCCCACAAGGCTTGGCCATGCTGCTCCAGTTGCAAGATCTCCGGTCTCCCGGCTCTCTGCCCGGCCTTTCGCTTTCACTCCGCACGTCCAGGCCCGCCCCCCTCGGCCCCGCCCCCTTCCTTCTTTTCCCCCTCCCTCTGGCAGTCTGCAAACTGTAGGGAGCCCCTCAGTCATTCTCAGCCTGCTGCGAGTAGTAAAGGCGGTACGGACTCGGTCACAAGCCCAGGGGCTGTCCGAGGGAGGGGTTAGTATAAAAGTGGGACCGCGGAGACAGTACCGGGGCTGTCCCTCGGAGAAAGGGAGGGGCTTGCAGGGAAGGGCAAGGGCGGTCCGGGGAAAATCCAGGGTTGAGGTGGGATGGGTAGGAGAGTGGGGAAAAGGGGGTGTTCAGTGGTGGGGCTCCCTCTAGAAGGCTCAACTGCAAGGAGGGCCCAGAGAGGGATCAGGATGGGAGAAGTGGGAGGGCGGGCCTGGGGCTGAAAAGGGATAGCAGGATATGGAAGGGAGCAGTCTCGGGGGATTCCTCCGGGAGGGTTCCCTGCCTTGAAGGGCGGCTGGAGAAAGGGCAGGACTCGCTTGAGTGGGGCCCAGACCGGCCAGAGTGGAGTCCCTACAGAGCGGGGCTTTCCCGGTGGGGACCAGAGCAAAGCCGACTGGTCTAAATAGAGAAGGCTTTGAGGGAAATAAGGTAACCCCTCGCCTAGGGCTACCCGGGAAGGGGCGGAACCAGCCTAGAGGAAGGCGGGGAGGGGCGCTAGTTTGGAATTTAAGGCCGAGATGCTCTGGGGGCGGAGTCAGGGACCATTTGCCCTTTTCATTGGCTGGGACCTGACTTCCCTCCTGCCCACGCCCCCTGATTTCCTGACCCCAGCCTGTCCTAAACTTAAACCCCTCCCCTTCCCCTGAAACCAGGTTGCAATCCCGCCCTCTTTGCTAGTACTTCCTGTTCCCGACTAACACTGGCGCGGGGCCCGGGACTGAAGAGTGACCGTGGCCTGAGTGACCTGGGGTGGCTTCGTCGACCTAGTCAGGCCACGAAGCCCGACACCGGGCGGGAGGGGCAGCGCTCAGGCAGTGCACAGCCTGCGCCAGGTCCTGGCGGGCGGCGGGGCTGGGGCTGACTCCTGTCTCAGGATGCCGGGGGAGGAGGAGGAGAGGGCCTTCCTGGCGGCCCGCGAGGAGCTGGCGAGCGCCCTGAGGAAGGATTCCGGGCAGGTGTTTTCCCTGGAGCAACTCCAGCCGCTACTGGTCACGTCTTTACCGCCAGCAGCCCGTTACCTGCAGCTGGACGCCGCACGCCTGGTCCGCTGCAATGCTCATGGGGAGGTGAGGCCCGGCCCCCGCTCGGGAAGGGGACGTAGGACTTGAGGCCTGGGCGGGGCTCACAGCTCTCCGCTCTCTGACTGCTCCCAGCCCCGAAACTACCTCAACACCCTGTCCACGGCCCTGAACATCCTGGAGAAATACGGCCGCAACCTCCTCAGCCCTCAGCGGCCCCGGTACTGGCGCGGGGTCAAGTTTAATAACCCTGTCTTTCGCAGTACGGTGGATGCTGTTCAGGTGAAGCCTCTGGGCCCCTTATGGGAGAAAGGGACTTGGCCTGGGCTGGGGGGTTGGTAAGAAAGGGCCTGACGCTGTGCTTAATGGGGAGGGCTCCAGCCCTAGTGGGAAGGGGGCCTGCCTGGTGGTGACTGGTTTGAATGTGTGGTAGGGGGGCCGGGATGTTCTGCGATTATACGGCTACACTGAGGAGCAGCCAGATGGGTTGAGTTTCCCTGAGGGGCAGAAGGAGCCAGATGAGCATCAAGTTGCTACAGTCACACTGGAAGTACTGCTGCTTCGGACAGAGCTCAGCCTGTTGTTACAGGTGAGATGTTGAGGTGTCTCTAGTCCTGAGGACTTAAACACCAGGCCTGGGGAGCCCAGCCTAACTCCACAAGCAGTCTTGCGGACCCTCATGCTGCTGAACCATGGGCATAGCCCACATAGCAACCTGGAAACTCCCCATACTCTTCTTCCTGTGGATGTTGGGAGACCAGGGCTTTGAGGGAGGACCTTGTCCTAGGGCTCTAGGTGGGAACTCTTCTTACCTTGTTTGCAGAATACTCACCCAAGACAACAAGCACTGGAGCAGCTGCTGGAAGAAAAGGTTGAAGATGATGTAAAAAAGGTAGGGATGGGGCTCTTAAGACCTGATGAACAAAGGGGATGGGGTTGTGGGACTGTGTGTCCCCAAACTCTTGCCCATTCCCTGCCCTTTATTTCTCAGATACTGAAGCTCTCCGAGTTTGCCCCCTTGCTGAGAGAGATTGCTCCTGGCCCCCTCAACACACCCTCTGCCCCAGGTATTATTCATCCTGTAATGGGAGGTGGGGGGCAGTTTTTAGTAGACCATATTGATGGAAATTTGGGGCCCTCCTCTGTTTATCCTTTTTGCCTTTAAAAAGAGATTAAAATTGTTTTCTTGGGTCTGGATATGTTGAATAGTAGTTTGTAATTTGTTCCCTTCAGCAAATTCAGATTAACTTGGTCTCTTTCAAAAGGATGTTCAGTTTTTCCTCTCCTGTTCTCCAGGCTCCACTCCTGGTCCCTGCTTCCTTTGTGGCTCTGCGCCAGGCACGCTGCACTGTTCAACTTGTAAACAGGCCTTGTGCCCGGCTTGTGATCGTCTATTCCATGGACACCCATCCCGTGCCCATCACCTCCGCCAGACCCTGCCTGGGGCCCCACAGACCACCTGCCTGACCCCCAGGTAAGAGATCTTCTCTTCTGAGTGGGAATGAAGTTAAGAGAACTTAGAATTACTTATGTACTATGTGTCAGTTTCTCTGCCAAAAGCTGCTTCATAGAAGGCAGTTAGTTACTGCTTTGCAAGAGGTCACAGACATACATATGAAGCAAGTAGCAGTCACAGCCAGATGTTGTGCAAATAGGTAGGAAGAGGAGTAACCTAGCCTAAAGGATCAGCTCAATCAGTAGGATTTTAAGCACCTAGTGTGGGTCAGGCCCTATGTTAGGGGGATAGCTATCACAAGATGTGAACTTTAAGATATAATTTTTTTTAAGTTTATTTATTTTGAGAGAGCACAAACAGGTGAGGGACAGAGAGAGAGGGAGAGAAAGAGACAATCTCAAGCAGGCTCCATGCTGTCAACACAGAGCCCAACATGGTGCTCAAACTCAGACTGTGAGCCAAAATCAAGAGTCCGAGGCTCAACCAACTGAGCCACCCAGGTGCCCCTAAGATATAATTAAATGTTGAACAGTCTATGGGTATGGAGCATTCCAGACAGAGAACAACATGCACAAAGGACAGGGCTTGTATTGTCACACAGAGAATGAGGGATGCCTGGGAATAAGGGACCCAGGCACCAGGGCCCCCTCAGCAGACCATCTCTGCTTTTTCGTTACAGCTTACCTGCCTCAGCATCACCACGGCCTCAGTCAGCCTCCTTGCTGGCCCTGGGAGACAGCTCTCTCGTGCTTCCCCTGAAAGCTTCCTCTGATACTGCAAATGCCCGTCTGCCCTGGCACTGTGCTGCCTGTGCCATGCTAAATGAATCTTGGGCAGTGCTCTGTGTGGCCTGTGATCGGCCCCGAGGCTGTAAGGGGTTGGGGCTGACAATGGAAGGTTCCCAAGGAGCTGGGGGCCTAGAATCTGAACTTGCACGGGGTCGGTGGGCCTGCCAAAGCTGCACCTTTGAGAATGAGGCGGCAGCTGTGCTGTGTGCCATATGTGAGCGACCTCGGCTGGCTCAGCCTCCTAGCTTGGTGGTGGATTCTCGGGATACTGGCATTTGCCTGCAGCCCCTTCAGGTAACCTGTTCCTGGCCTTCCCAGCCGTCCCCGTTCTTTATTTGCACCTGTTACCACAGGCCATTCTCGACCCCTTCATCTCCTGTTTTCCTTCAGTTCTTCTGAATCTTCCACCCTCCCCCCTCCCAAACCTGTCTGTATTTCCATCTTGAGCCTCAGCCAGCTTTCAGTTGGATAATTCTTTTTGCCTTCCCAGCAGGGGGATACTTTGCTCTCCTCTGCCCAGAGTTCAGTCTGGTACTGTATCCACTGTACCTTCTGCAACTCTGGCCCTGGCTGGGTGTGTGCTATGTGCAATCGGACCAGCAGCCCCGTCCCAGTACCGCACGCCCCCCAGCCCCAGGCCAGCTCTTTGGAAGAGCAACTCCCTGAGCCAGGGCCTCCACGACGCCTCAGTGCCCCCCTGCCCAGTTCCTGTGGGGACCCTGAGAAGCAGCGTCAAGACAAGATGCGTGAGGAAGGTCTCCAACTAGTGATCAAGATCCGGGTGAGGATTTGGGCCTGGGATGAGGTAGGGTTGAACTAATGGGGTAAAGAAGGGGCTGCAGTTGATTAATACAAGTTCTTGTAAACCTAGTCACTAGCAGCAGCTGCCTCTTATTGAGCACCGCCCGTATGCTGTGCGGTGCTCACGTGATCCATATGTCTGAACTCAACCACTGTCAGCATTTTGGTTTGGGCTGAGGGTGGGTGGAAGGTGCCCTTCCTGATGGGCCATCTGTCTGGGTGGGACTGTGCCTTAGGAAGGGGAAGCTGCAGGTGCCTGTCCAGAGGAGGTTTTCTCGGCTCTACAGTACTCAGGCACTGAGGTGCCCCTGCAGTGGTTGCGCTCAGAGCTGCCCTACGTGCTGGAGATGGTGGCCGAGCTGGCTGCACAGCAGGACCCGGGCCTGGGTGCCTTTTCCTGTCAGGAAGCCCGGAAAGCCTGGTTGGATCGTCATGGCAATCTTGATGAAGCTGTGGAAGAGTGTGTGAGGGCCCGGCGCAAGAAGGTACCGGCTGTGCTGACAGGGCAGGCAGGGTTGTGGGTCTCAGAGCTTCTCACACGCTCTTGCTTGCCATTTCCCTCTTCACTCCTCTCTACCCCCAACTTTCAGGTGCAGGAGCTCCGGTCCCTGGGCTTTGGGCCTGAAGAGGGGTCTCTTCAAGCATTGTTCCAACATGGTGGTGATGTGGCACGGGCCCTGACTGAGCTACAGCGCCAGCGCCTAGAGCCCTTCCATCAGCGTCTCTGGGACAAGGGCCCTGATCCCACCCCTTCCTGGGATGGGCCAGACAAGCAGGTGCTGG